AACTGAAACTTTCTTGGATCCATGACATGTCAGGACTTAAAGAAAGACATTTTGATTCGCTCTGATCTACAACCTGACAGTCTGGTGACATGCAGTAGTAGATCAGTATGTTTCTCCTGCACAGGTTTTCCTGCAGTTATCTGATGTTCCTCTGTCCTGCCAATGACTGCCAAACGACCACACATAAAACAACTGATTTAATGACTTCTGGTAGTAAAAATGTATTTTCCTAAACAACCACGGAGACACAGTCAAGCACGAGCCTGAATAACTCTACCAAGTACAACGTACTACAGTTTGATATTCAAATCACTCCTCATTTGTTTGACTTCTGACTTTGCAGAGTCAACAACGTGGCCCAGAGCGACAGTGGGTTTCCAAAGGCAGCATTCTGTCTGACACAGAGTGACAGCCAGTCGCTCCAGTCCAAAGGTGAACTCTGTTTTTTAGGAGTGACCTGACTGAAGGGCTGCGGTTGGAAAAAATGTCTGCACTCTGCACGTCCCTTTGATTATTTCACAGACTCGGTGGACCAATGTCTGCCTCCAATATCGCCTGGTCTCTATTGATTCCATGTGACAGTAAACAAAACCTGTCTGGGTTTTGAGGAAGAAAAAAAAAGACAAATAAATAATTATTATATATATATATTATATATTATATTATTTGAATATGTTTAGGTATAACACATAGAGAGAGACATAAGTAAAAATATTTTGCATATGTTTATTAGTTTTTTTCCCCTTTTTTAAAAAAAATATATATAAAAAACTCTTTTTGTCTTGAATTGTGAGGCCAAAGTGATATTCTTTTTAAATTAAATAAGCTGCAAAAGTTTCTCCATTTATGTTGTTGTTGTTTGTCAATAGAACAAAACTGTTCTCATGGTTGCGTCATCTGGTTAAAGAGAAGAAGAAATGCCACAGTAGCTTTAAACTGCCTTCTTCTACTCTGATAATTGGCTCCGTGCTGATGGAGGACTTTGGTTCATTGCACCAGGAGAGCAAAAGGGTGTGTGTTTGGGTGTGTATGTGTGGATGAGACTATGTACATATTGAAACACGCAGCTGCTGCACCAGCTGGTTAGTTAAAACCCTACACGGTGGGAAATGAAGGAAGAAGTTCCCATACATTAAGCTGCATGGTTCAGGATTTACTGTGTCCTTTCCTGCCACAAACACAGGAAGAGAGAGCGGAGCATTGATAAAGTGACATGTACTTAGCTTGGACAGGCTGCGCTGTCTTCACACTGTGAAGAGGACGAGTGTTAAGGTAGCAGGGTGTGGTGGACATCCTGGAGTTATTAAAACAACGCTGGAAAACCTCCCAGCAGCTCCTGAATATGTTTGTTTGGAGCTGCAGGATGTTTCCCCTTCAGCACCTTGACGCAGGGAAAAAAATGGAAACCGGCTCCTTCACTGCAGGGTCGGGCCCCTGGTGATAGGAAGGTAGTCAGTCTGTAGAAAGAGAGAGAGAGACAGAGAGAGTGCAGATGAAAGTAGGTCAGCGATACAGAGGCAGTGGAGCATGACAGCAGCATCCTCATCTCTCTACTTAGCTGCGTGCAGCTAGCTTTAGCAGGCAGATCTGTCTTGTACATGGTGTCAGACTACTTGATCTGCATCATACAGTAATGAAATAATTTAAAAAAAAAGATTTAGTCATGTTGAAAAAAAATGCATTGGACAATTTAAGATATATAAAATAAAATTGTGAACATCTTAACTAAGTCTTGCTTTTAAATATAAATCCTTCTCACATCCTTGTCATGTTACTAAGGACAAAAGGGAATCTTTAAGGAGACATTCAAAATATATATATTAGAATTGTCTTAGAATTTTACTCTTGATTAAACTGGCTTATTTGAAGACTCTGGTGTATTGATTATAAAACAACCTTTGACATCCATCCAATCAAAGATTGTATTTTTTTGCTGCACCAGAGCACTGGTCGATTGATTGATTTATGGTCCCCGGCAGATATTGATCCTTGTGTATGTTATATCTTTATGTACTTTTAATTCACTTAATTGATGTTGTAACCCATAGAAGAGCAGCCAATGATAACACATTACCAGGTGACTCCTTTTAAATTGGACCATAAAATAAACAGTAAAAGTGATTGTATTTCATTATTGAATAAATGCAATTAAAATCAGACTCAATGCAATGACTTGTTAACACCTGACATCAGGATTGGTACAGTGCACATGTTTGACAGTGGGGCTTAACTGTATGCCTGACATAAATGTAGGTCATGCTTCTATAAGCAGTACCAACCAGGTGCACTGACTGTCTTTGGAACATCGCTACATTTCAACACTAACAAGAGCGTCATCTGCCTAAGTGTGATCTGTTTGGTTGGGATCCATGTTGGAATTAACTGATAGCTACACAAAATGCTAAACAAAGCAGTGAAAAATCCCACAAAGCAATAAAGTAAAGGGTAAAGACTAAAGAAAATCACCAGGAACGTATATGTTGCATGTGAACTAATAACCATATTAATCTATTTATTTTTGGCTCTTCTGCTAAATTTCTTGGTTTAAAAAAGTATAAACCAACCACTTCAGTTTCTGCTGTTGCCTTAAACAGCAGGTTTGTTTGGGTCCCAGGAGGGTTAATTAAGGCTACATGGTACGTCCTGAGAATGTATGGGCCATATACTGTTTAGAACAGTGTGCATGTAGCATCCCCATGTTTCCAACATGCTGTGTAATAAATCAAGGGCTTTTTAAAAAAAACAAAAAAACATGACCTCAGTCTCTGAGGGCCTGTGAAATTGTATACGCTAATCAATACGACAGTCAGAAGGTTCATATGACAGGAAAGCTAACAGAAAATTCGAAATGTAGACGCTAACATTGAGTCGCACGCATTCAATTATAAGAATTTGTCATGTTTTTGAATAAATTAGTGAATAATATTAGTAAGATGAGCATTACAGATTAATTCCCTAATCTGTGGCAGATCCACATCATTTATTTTACACAGGAACTGTGTACCCATTGATTAGTCATATTTAACATCCTTTTTGTTGACATTAGTGAGTCTATCTCCATAAATTCACACAACTTTACTGCCTTTACGTTAGAAAAACACCCAGTCGAGGGCTGCATGTCTGGCTGCATGCTCCTGGAGCTGTGTCAACAGCCTTGTTGACCCAGCCTCATGTGAATCCAGAGGTCTGTGCCAAGTTCACATTTTCACACGGCCCTGAGAGGATTAAAGCTGCATCAGCAGTGTTGAGCCTTTTCGTCTTGGTGGAGCTGCGACAAAATCAAGATGTCACGTCCATTTTTGCTGCAGGTAAAGGTTGTGTTGAACCAGCACCATCAACTCTGACACAACCAGTGATGAAAGAGTTAAATAACAACATGTGTTGAAAGGGAATTTATCTTAGTTTATCTTAAGGTAAAATACAGGGGCTAACAAATTCTTTTTAACAAATAATTTCTCAGCTAACCTTGATATATGATTTCCAGATTTTACAGCTTTAACCTGATATTTTGGCAATGAGTACTTCAGGAATTATATCAACGTACTTATTTTTTATGAATTTTGACTAACCGTAAGTCAAATAAATATGATGATACTGATACAGAGCTACATATCCCCTGGCTAACCTTTAGCTAAATCTTAGCTGGGGTTTTATTTCTGTAGTTTCTTTAGTTTCCTCTTTTTTTTTTCTCTATGCAAACTGTTTAGATTTAATTTGATTATGCTACCACTTTAACATGGAATGTGCTATGCTGTAAATAAATTATTTAAAATGCAGCCCATTAGTATGCCCCATTAATGAAAGTCTATCAGTGAGAGAGGATGTGGGCTTTGGGTGTTCAACATTTGCTCCCCTTGAGAATGGTTCAGATGCCTCTCTATTTAAAATGTAGCCATGAAAAATTGATCATCTGTGTCTTTCATGTGCATCAGACTGGTCTGCAGTACGAGTCTGGATAACAACGTGGACCAGGAACATCCTGAATCTTCCTATTTTTAAGCAGTCTGTCGTTTGTTTGCTCACTAACGGTCTGAGGTCCCTGGTGTAGAGTGAACAGCCTCTCACAGCCATTGTCTTCATTAACAAGTGTGCAGCTTTCTTCTTGTTTGGATTCTGTCATGTGTGATGCTACAATGGCAGTTTTGTCCCAGGGCTGTGTGTTAGGACTGGGACTGAGCTTTTCACCAAGATTTCTATAGGACACACAAAGGTCGCCATTAAGAGCATTAGAACTGTTCTGATAATGATTGGTAGCGGCTTTGAAAGCCAAAAACAACCATGTTTTATAACAATCTTTTGATTAACTTTAACCTAAACCAAATGTATGTGCTTTTTCTACTTTCTGACTTCAATCGGATGAATACTTACATTTGGATGAATACTTACATTTCACACATCTTTCTTCATAAAATATACAGTTTTGATTAAGTGATGAATTGATGATCTCTTTGTAAATGAAACAAACCTCCAATTGAGAGTTTTTTGTGCAGGGCTAAACTTGAGAATGGGGGTGACATGTTCTTGTGTCAGAGCCAGAAACATGACAAAAGCTCCAGCCCTGAAAATCCCAACAAGCATAGAAGAAGTGGGGGAAGATTTACAGACAGATGTAAGTCAATTTACAGAAGTGGCAACTACCCTACTGGTAACAATCACTAAGTTCCCGGCAACTAACAGCAACAACTACTGTGTCATCTGTATAAAGTGAGAGAGTGGTTTGTCCACACTGGGGGCACTGAAGTCACCTTATAGATCTCTAATTAATTAAGTCCTCTCTAATTTCGCTTTTTCTGCCTAATGTGTTAAATATCATGGCAGAAGGCCGGAGTCAATCTCAGCTGATATCTGAGCAGAAGGTGTTGCACATCCCAGACATGTCCCAAGTCCATGTAGAGACAACCAACCAGTCAAATTCACATCCACATCTACTGAGAGTTACAGAGTTACACTGTTGTAGTGGAAAAAGTAGACTTTCTGAAAAAAACATTTACTGTACATGAAAGAACGTGCACATTACAGACTTAAAAGTCTGTTTATACAGCTGAGACATGATCCAGTGACCTTCTTGTCATAAGGCAACAATACTAACCACTACTTCCCCTTGCACTCCATGTAATATTCCGTTCGTTGTTATTGGCCTTAATAGGCAGAAGAAGTGCATCTGCCATAGTGACGGGTGAGAAACATCTGGTGTGTGTGTGTGTGTGTGTGTGTGTGTCAAAGTCTTTCTGTGCCCCTGCCTGTCCATCAAACCCTTCTCTTTTTATTTAATAATAAAACACTTTATTCTTAGGTTTAGGATTTGGCCCAGCTATGGTGAGAGTTTATGGTTAAGACCTGAATAGAATGAATGGACATCATTGTGGAGTCCTGCATTGTAGATGGTTTTGGTGACTACGTCAAGGCTGGTGTGTTCACTGGTGTGTTCACCATCACCATGAACCATGGTGATGGTGGAACACACCACAACACTGTGGTGTGTTTCATGTGGTTTTGAATTGCTTTTAGAAACAGTGGTCACCTGACGGCTCAGAGGACTCAGAAGAATAACATACTAAATGCACTCAGCAGTTGCCAATAGGAACAAATTGTTCGTAATTTGCACATTTAATGCTATTTGTTGAAGGTAAAGAAAACACAATAGTGCCGTGGCGTCCATGGAATTTATTTTACTGTCTGTTTGTTTCTCTGAAACATTTTGTCCTCCAGCGCCCACTTTCTTCATTAGGACATCTGTGTTGAATGAAGAATGTTGTCTGAACGTCCAAGGTCAGGAGATATGGAGGTATACAGAGAGGAGGGGTCACATAGCTGAGCCTGGAGTGTCTATAGACTAGGTTTTGTAGGCAGGGGTAACCACAGCAACAATTTAGTTGTGTTGCTGCCCATAAAGAGACAGATGCATCAAGAGTCAGCACTGGCCCGTCTGGTGTTGAGGAGAGGACAAAAACACAAATACTGGAGGAAGTCCAGACCACGTATTACCCCAAACACCCATCTAAATATCTACAATCTTTAAAATTAAATCCTGAAAATTCAAATCATTATGAGTTAAGGGGAGACAATACTATAATTCCATGTCATTATGCTCGTTTCTCTCTTTTTCCACTTTAGGCTATAATTAATTTAATGCCTTTATCAGTGAAAAAATAATGATCTTTTAGGTCCTTTGGTCTTTAGTGATCATGACAATTTACTGAAGTCTAGGATCAGCATTAAGAGGACCTAATCTGTGGCCAATCTCAGGTATAAATATGTTGTAGTCTTACCTAAGAATTTGGCTTCTTTAAAGACTTCCAACTAGTCAATAAATGGTTAAATCACTCTCTTCTTATGAATCAGAATTCGACAGTTGAACTAATTACTGCCCTGTTTCCAGAAATACCAGGGAACAAAGCAGCTGAGAACTGGATTCAGTTCTTAATTTAATCCATTTGACTTTTCATTTTCATTTTCTGATAATAATTGTGCTTCAATTCCAACTCAGAGCCTAAATATTCAGTAAAGCAGTGGGGCAAACAATTAGTTTGTTTTTAAGCTGCCGTTCTCTGAGGAATTAAACTGAGTCATGCTGATGTGAAAATGAGGTTGAAAATGCAGCAGTTTGGATGCTGACTGTGATTATTCTGCTGCACTTTAGCTGCAGTGGCTCTGGATATAAATAGGCCTGTGTGTATAACAGCGAGAGTGAAAAACATTTGAATAAATCTAAAAATCTTCTAAAGTAACCTGAGATTTGGCTTCAGTCAAACATGTACTTAACTATGAGATTTAAGGTCATTTACAGGAAGAACTTCTTTACGTTCACTTCCTGTCAGACATTGTTTACATTGTTTGTCTCGGTCAGTCACATTGTGTTGAAGTGTGAAAACGTGTGAATGGAACACAGATAACAGGTTTAAAGATTTTTTCTCAGGTGGAGCAGGTTCACGGTCACTCTGTTAATTTTTTAAAAAGTGCAATTCATCACAGAGCAGCCGACGTGCACATGAGCAGGAGGGACTATTTTTATCTCTGTGGCTGCAACATGAGGCGCTGACCCCAACGTCAGGATGTATAAATAACACCTTTTCACAGACACAGTGTCTGTTTACATTTGGCGGTGACGGACCGGGTTGTCCACACCGGAAGACAGGAGTGTCCATGAAGTAGGCCATCATCGATCTTAATCTGCTGAGGCAGGAGTTTGTCCTCCTCACCTGCTCTGCACTATGCCTAACTCTGAGAGCAGTCATGTGACCCTCTCATCCTAAACATTCTGTTTTTGGGTTGTTCTCTTCTTCTTTCAGCCTGACCTGCCACTGGCCATGGACTACATGAACAACGGTTCCAACAGCTACGGTTCTGGAGACACTGTGAGCGCCTCCTTAGGCAACATGAGCATCAACGACCAACACCACCAGGAGAATGGAGTCCAGATGGGACACATGAAAGGTCAGTCACAGGACACAAGTACACAAACCACTGCTGCCGGCAGAGCTTAACGGTGCAGCTGAATGTTCCAGATAAAAGAGGAACGATGATAGAATTGCGGTGACATCACAGAAATATCTTCTGGTGATCCTCATACTCAGGTCATTGACTCAACACTAATTTAGACCACATTCTAGAACAATGTCTGTCCAGTACCATGGCAGAACTCAGCTAAAGTCAAAAATTAACCAAACCCTAACATTTTTCTTTATTACCAACAAGCAAACAAACAAGGCACTTTCACATTGAAGAATGAGATTATTCCCCTATTTTGTACAAATGTGGACAAAACTCACTCCCTACTTTATAGTCAGTAAACATGAGTATACACAGTTAAAATGTGGTGGTAGGTTTATTTAGATGTTAGGCTGTTGTTGTTTTTTATTGTTTGTTTTGACCTCTTACAAGGCTCAAATGCATTTGCAACATGAACTGAGGTCTACAGGTTTAACTCTATGACTGTAAAAGAACCATGTAGATGGAGTGTGGTAAAGTGTACAGGCAGACACATACCTGTGTTTCCTGAATTCAAGTCCATACCAGTCAGACCTTTGCTGCCATCGCTGTAGCTTAAGGTGTAGAATGTGGAGAAACTGTAGCAGAGACTTCAGATGTCTGTCACCTGCAGGTTTTTTGGGTACAGCCATTGTGATGGACAGCTCCTTATTTCAACTGTCCTTTATTCTCCCAAGGCAGAAACTGGACAGCAGCTACGAAGCACTGGAGACTGAAAGAAAGAAACAAAAGTAGTTTGCTGCTATTCTACTTGTATTGATATTTGGGGTTGAAGAATAAATCGGTCTTTACTGGACCAAGTTTTCTGGCATTATTCCTACTGACAATATTTGGTGACCTTAAGCGACAGCACTTTGTGGTAGAAGCAGCCAGACTTCTCCACCAAGGGTTGACGCAGACCAACTCTACAGCTTCATATTGGTCTCTAATCCCTGGACACATTCTGGAATAATCTCAAAAGCCTTAGATATCCCAAACGTCTCTGTAGCTTCTTCTTTTTTTCTTTTTTTTTTTTTTGTAGAGGGTCAGGGCAGTGGCTGGGACCCGGAAATTCAACTGTGCTTTGTTTTAATCCAGCTTTACATAATAGACACAGGGAATGGTTCAGTGGGCTTTAGTGCCTGACTGCAGCTGCACTGTAATCCGGGCATCTGGGTCAGAGTCGTCAGAGTGAGCTCTGTCTCCATCCTGAACTACTGTCCACTCTGGAACAACCCAGCTTTGACTGTGTCGACAGTCAGAGACAATATTTCATAACACAGAGCACTAATGGCATGAAGCTAAATTTGTTTTGTGAACAAAAAGCCTTGTTTGAGAATTTAGGATGATTACAGTTCTGACAGATTGTTCCATTTATAAGTCGTAATCATTTCAGGCCCTGTCAATAATGTGCTTCTGCTCTCTTTCGTCCTTATCAACCATATGGCCAATTAGTACGTAGCTTAGCTTTCCCCAGTCTGCAGCCATCACTCGTGCAGTCGTTCTCCCTCTTCCCGTTCTCCATCAGCTCATACACAAACAGGAAGTGGTGCACAAGTTCAGGTCCAGCTGCAGAGCTGCACACAGTCACGGACAGTCAAACAGCATGTGAGTATGTGACGGTTCTCTGCAGCTGAGTAGGAATTGTAGCGGAGTAGAACAGTAGGTCAGTGGTGAAGGGTGAGCCTGGTGAGCTTTTATTATTAGTGCACTTCATATTCCTTTTAATATTGATCCAACTGTTGTATTTTTTTCTGTGTATTGCAGCATATCGATAGTCTGTAAGAATATTGTCCTAAATTAAACATGTCTGTGTGTGTGTGTGTTTATATATATATATATATATATATATATATATATATATATATATGTGTGTGTGTGTGTGTGTGTATCAAGGCCCTGAAGGTGGTGGACACAGTGTTGGTCTCAATTTTTAGTCCAGTATCATTTAAAGAGTAAACATATTTTTCATTTGAACAAATATTGTTCTGATGTTTGTGTGCATCTCTGTTTTGAACCACTTGACTTTCCCTCACAGCTCCTGGGACCATTAATATTCCTGAATGTATTCTTCTCACCTGCAGCTGCGTCTGTCTTTCTGTCACATTCACCGGTTTGACTTCCAGTTTACCTCCACAGAAAACGGAGCAGCGCTGGGTGACAGTGGGCTGAAATCATCATTGGAACTCTCTCAGCCACAGAGCTGTGAGGACGAGGTGCAGCCTGGTACGCTCGCTACCTCACCCACTCACCCGCCTGCTGCCTGCCTGCCAGCACTTCTCATGTCACCCATTCTGAAAAAAGGAAGAGTGCTTAGTGCCAATTAACTTTTTGTTTTTGCTTATTTCAGTTTGTGAGCAGTTTACTTTTTTTTAACATTTAACCTTCTTCCTTTGCAGAAATAGCATCTGTTTTGATTTGTTGGTTTTTTTTGTTTGTTTTGTTTTCTTCTCCTGGCAGTTACTAATTATTTACCTTTGTGCCTTTTCTCTAACATATGATTTAACAGTTATTTAACTTTAACACTAATTGTTTTCAGTTGGACTGATATCAATAGTCTGTCTGTGATATTTGACACAGTATTGGCCTCCTTGACGTGTTGATCAGCTCCTGAGTGTGTGAACATGAGAATACCATATGTGATGCTACCAGAGCATATTCAAGGTCGTCAGGATTGACAGTATTAAGTCAAAACTATAAGTGCTTTGTCTATGTAGAAGGTAGTACTTTATCAAGTACGTTTTCAACCTTGTATTATAGCTACGCAGGCAAACAGCAAAAAGCAAAACATTGACTGATCAACAGATATATTTTGTACTCATGAGTATTCACCAGCTCTGTCTGTACTGTAATGCAGTGAGTAGTGGGCAGGTGGATTTTAACTAGTACCTAAGCTAACCATCATTTTCATTTTCTGGTCACACTGACTGACATCTATTCATGCCACAGCTGGAGTGGCTGCAGAGGACGGCAGCGTCGAAGCAGTGTCTGATGTCTCTCGTGAAGATGAGGGACATCTGGGTATGCTGTCCTGTCCTTATAACCCTTTCTTTTCTGTTGCTTATGTGTTCATTTATTTTCTAGTTGCCTCTTTCTTTTATCCACACAGTCTGCTCTCTGGAAAGAAAATCTTCCCTTTTTTCTCATTTTAAAGTCCAAAGAAGGTTGACACCAACTTTATGTCTGTAAAGAACAAGCTGAGGCAAAACGGAGCTTCATAACAAAACACATTGGCTGCTGTTGTCGCAGGTTGTGCAATCTTTGTCAAAGGGGACCAGTGGTGGTGTGTTTTCTACCCAGAAGACATTATTTTTAACTAATGTGCATGCCACTGTGTCCTTGGGCAAGACTTGAACCCCCTTAATTCCCATCTACCATCATTGTTAACTTTAATCAAAAAAAGAGTCAACTGAAAGACTTTAAACTCCAGACATGAAATGGTATCAATCTTCTAAATGGCCCTTTGTTAAATGTCTATTTTGGACCTTGGCTTTAACCAACCTGCTTCTCGTTTACCGTGTGTGTCATACAAAGCTTCTTTTTTATTTCAGCATCTCGATAAAAAAAAAAAAAATGCAAATAAATTTGTTTTTTACTCATAATATATTACATATTCTTAAGCCTGAGAGAAGCCTGTCTTTTGTTTTTGTTTTTCAAAAGGACACAAACTAAACTGCAGACAGATTTGGGCCTGAAGTGATCTGTATAACACACACACTGCTCCAGCTTGTGTAAATGCCAGAATAATGTCAAAAACAGCTCAACGGCACATGTCACCCTCCTGCTACTGCTGCTGCAGCATTACATAAGACTTTATAGAGATGGAGTCACTTTTTGCCTTTGCATCATCTGCGATCATGTTTGTAAAACGGTGATCTAATCTGACTTTATTCAGTTTGGTCTTGTCTGCATTCACCTGACATACGCTGAATGTGAGCTGCCTATTGATTTTCCCTGCAGTGGCTGAGTGTATTAATTGGTCATGAATGACAGAGGTTGATTATTGAGCGTTCTCTCATGTCTATCTCATCATATTCCATCTGCAGCTGCAGCAGGAGGAGCAGCTTCAACAGGTAGGATGCTTTATGTGCTATTGATCCAACACACACTGTATTTACTTGTGGCAGGTACTAAAGCACAGACACTAAAACACTCACCTATACTTACATCTGTGGGGCGATGAAAAGCAGCAGTGAGGAGAAGAAGTCGCTCTCTCCTGGATGTTGGTTTTAATGGCATCGTTTTCCTAATAATTTAGTTAAACAAGACAAATAAAAGAGAAGAAACAGCTTAGATATAATTGAAAAAAATTCTATTTGAGATTTAAAAAGTTTAAGCTATAGATCCATTAATATCTCAAATATTTTAAGCTAAAGATTTCTCAAATTTTAAGCTAATGATTTCTTATATCATATTTTATTAATCTATTAATATTTATCTATTAATACATCTTATAATTACTCTGATAGGTCATTTATTAATTAGCATCAAACATTTGCCTAGTAAATGGTAGTTATTTAATTTAAAACAAATGGCAAAAATGTCTTCATATCTTTTTACTCCTGATAAGTAAAAAATATAATGTATGGATTAATTATCTTGTAATACCTCATTTTACATGTGATTGTTTCTTATTTTACAACTGTAGAAGATTTGAACTTTTGTTCTATAATTTAGACTGTTTTTTCACCATTAAACCAAAAACTTACCACAGAATATGTATTACTACCATAGTGGCACAACAACTTAACTCTGAAAGACAGTTTTAAAAGTAAAATAAAAACGATATTTCTATATCAGAAAAATATTCATATTTAGTGTCTAGGTCTGGGTGATTATGGCACAATTCCCTGCATTATAAATCCCAGTCTAAATGTCACATCAATGAAATTCAATTAAACAGTTTTTCCATAAGAAAACAAAACTGCAGTTTCATACAAAAGCTTAAAACAAAGCAGTATCTTCTCACAGCAATGAATAAACTTAACTCTGCATCTAGTTCCCCGACTTACTAAAGGGTCACAAACCACAGTTTGAGAGCCTTGGTGTTAGATAATGATCCAATAAAAGACTGTTGATTTCATGCACCTTTCACTGGCCTGTGGTTCATTCTTCACTGGAATGACTCATCTGTCCTCTGTCAGTGTGATGCACCACTGTCCATCTCCATTTTACTTTAGTACTTCCTTCACAATCCAATCACCTTTAATCACTTCTCCTTTTTGTGAGTCTTGCCTTTCACATTTCACTGATCTCTTTAGACTTTAGACTCTTTTCTTCTTTGCATCAATTTTGCTGTGTTAAAATGGCAAAAAAGTGCTGTGATGGTGGTCATTAATGTGCTTTCCAAACAAAGTAGACACTCCCAGCAATCGAGTCCACAGTGACTCTATGGTTTCTGGGGAGGGAGCAAATGCCACTGTTGAAGGAGCTGCTGCAGAGGGCGGAGACTCCGTGGGAGCTTCCTGCTCCGAGAAGCCAGAAGACACTGCCGAGGAGGAGTGTGGGAAGAAGCTGAGTGGATCTCTCTGGGCCTCTGAGGACCTCAGCAGCAGGTCAGGGTTCAGAGAGGACATGCCAGCCACCAGCAGGGGGAGCCCTGAGTGGAGTGGAGCTGTGGACACTCAGAGGGCCATCAGCCTAGACGCCTGCGAGTGTCTGAATGGGGATCTGTCTGGGACGGCTTTAGTCAGGAGCGCAGCTTTGGAAGACCTAACATCCATCGATGACAGGAGCACGTGGGTCGGCCCAGAGGGAGAAGAGCTGGTCACAGAACAGACCAAAGATGGACTGACTTCTGATGTAACAGCCTTAGTATCCCACAGGGACACTGAAAGCAAAATAATTCAAGAAACACAGGACACCCTTCAAAGCAAGAGCCTACCACGGTCTAAGTTGGACTCTCCTTCAGAAGATCTCAGTCCAGCAGAGAGCACTGTGAACATTTGTGAGGAAGGCGGACTTGTGGCCAAAATTCCATGTGACCGGGTGGCTGAAAACGGCAGCAGTGAGTCATTGTCGCACAGGGACGTCCGTTCAGACACTGACATTTGTCTCAGTGAGTCAGAGATGAGAGGCTGTGAAGCTCAGACCACTGTTACCACTGAGCTGCAGAAAACGCCTCCTCTCCAAACACCTCCAGCCCCAAAGTCTCTGCTGCCTGTGGCTGTTTCCAAAGGTCTGTGTGCTGTTGTGTTCACCGCCTCAGAGCAAGTCCTCTTCAGTTCAACTCCTTCCACTTGTTTGAGTTACAAGTAGCTTCTACTGTATGTCATGTAGCACTCTCCCTCTGAATATTTATTATGGACGGTAATTTCCACCTGAGGAGACGCCTGTTGTCCTCCCTCCCTTCCTTCGGTACTTTTTCATTTAAATCCCCCCATCCTGTCTCACTTTGTTGGTTATGCAGCCCCAGGGTTCTCTGCTTGACTTCAATACTAATTATATGCACATTGTGTGACACATTGCATGCTGCATATCCTACATCACCACTTTCACCTCTTTTGATTTTAATTTTGCAATGTATATACGATGGAATTGATGAAAAAAAGACAAGAAAAAATAATTCTGCTTTTCTCCCCCTGTAGCTCAAGCGAAGATGGACAATGGTTCCACGGAGAAGGTATGGAACCCAAAGCATTGTTGACGTGCGTTGACAACACAAGGGGGTGTGGGCCCGGGCTCAGAAATGTAAAACCTGTGTACCAGCTCATAAGGATATGTTTCATCTTAAACTTAATGAAATGAAAGCGACTGCACCCACACTAATGTGCTATTTTGTTTGTTCCGTGCTTATGGAGTCTCTAAAAGTCATTGTAGTGCTTGGGTTCATCAGCAATAGTTGTGTAACCAGTTCTTATTCTGATTCAACTTGACCTGTAGATGGTACATACAGAGTGGATGTGAACTAGTTGCAAAAGGAACACTGTGGAAGACTGGAGGAGCTGCTCTTGGTTTACACCTGACTCGCTCAATTGACTCACTTTATAATTTCAATAAACTTCAATGTTTCGCTGTGTAGGTCAGTGATAGTGACAGGTCAAAGAACAAACAAGGATTTTCTACATGATATCCCTCTGTCATAACACATACACTGTACCAATTGGCAGACTTTATGGATTCAAGGACAGTATATAATGAATGCTTTGGACTTCAAGCGTTTCAGAAAGAGTCCAGCTGTGTAATGACTAACACTTTGTAGACATTTGGTATATTGAGGTGGGACCAGTGTCCCACTCCATTATATCCACTTTGTGTGCATGAACATTAAGCAAATAATGGGTCTCATTTTGAAACAAAGTATTTTTCTTATTTATGGCATGAGAAAGCAAAACCGATCCTGTAAAAAGTCATCCACCAATTCTATTATTTTACTTTATTATTTCATGTTGTTCGTGTTCATTCATGGCCATTTCATTTATTTTGTTATTACTTTGTATTTATTTTGTCATTCTTTTTGCTTTCTGATTTTATGTTTGTTTGTTTTTTTGTTTTGTTTTTTTTTCCCTCTTCACAATAAAAGTCTCAAACTGCCACCACACCAACCTCATCCCTCAAAAGGCCGTCTGTAGTCAACAGGGGCAACAAAACAGCTACCTCTCCCCGAAACGGCCACAGCTCCATCCCAGTTAAAACCAACAGCCTGGGGTCCAGACAGTCTGGAGTAAGTACAGGTCTGAGGGGACAGCTCCACAGTTCTATTCTCTGAAAGGACCTTTTATCACCAACAAATAAACCAATTCTCTGTCCATTCATCACTAACTGCAGTCTGACGTTCAACCAGACTAGAGAGATTTCTACAATACTTTCATGATTGCTGTGTTTTCATGATTAGAGAAAAATAAATAACTTTTTTGTGCTCTTCATTTCCAGGCTGCTGCTAAACCTCAAACCCCTGCAGCTAAAACCTCCGTAAGAACTGTAGCTCAGTCAGGTAGGAAACCAGATTACACATCTGGATTATTTAAATAGTTTCATCTTTTTTTTTTTCCCCAAAGGAGTCCATTAAAAACGTGCACTTGTAACGTGTCATATTTTCTATAATACAGCTAGTGCCAAGAAACCTCCCACTTCAAAATATGAAAGAGGTAAAACAAATAAATTGCCTGAGATGTAAAATCGCATGGCCACAAAACCAAATGCCTGGTCCTAATCTGGATCAAACTTGGTCAGCTTTAGCTGTTTGTAGTACAGTATATTTTGTTGACCTTGACCTTTTTTGATCTCCCATGAACTATATCATTGTACAACTATTGACGTGTTGCCTCCTCTCCATCTCCTCTAGATGCCCAGAGTGGACAGAGCAGCCCCGGGACTCCAAAATCACCCGCTAGCCAAGCAGCTTCTGGAAAGTCTGCGGCCGAGGCTAACAAAGTGAAAAAGGTTGCTGTGGTGCGTTCCACCCCCAAGTCCCCAGGTTCGCTCAAGAGCCGCTCCCCAGCTCCTCTGGCTGCTGCAGCACCAATGCCGGACCTGAAGAACGTCAGGTCCAAGATTGGCTCCACAGACAACATCAAACATCAGCCTGGAGGAGGAAAGGTACCCTGCCACTTCACGTCACTCTTCAGATAGATAAAACACAAAATACAATCTAAGTTTTTCTTGACTAAAAAAGGATTAATCAATTTTAAAGATTAAAATTATCCAACAGGAAAACACAGAAATATGTCCAAATATTTGCAAAACTTTAAACATTTAAAGGAATATGATACAATAAAATACAGTCGTACATAATATGACTTTGTACAAAAATGTTATTATGTAGAATGCAAAGTCCAACTCCAACTAATTTTAAAGAGGTTAAAAACCTATGACATCTCAGTCATGTCCTGCACCAAACATATTTCCACATTTTTCTGCCGCGCTGACGTAAAAACAACTAACCTGACTCTGTAAAAAAGGGCATAAA